CACCAGGTGGTGATCAGTTGACAGCTCCGCCCCTCTCTTCACCCGAGTGTCCAAGACATACAGCCGGAGGTCAGATGAAACAACCATAAAGTCGATCATCGACCTCCGGCCTAGGGTGTCCTGGTGCCATGTGCACTGATGGACACCCTTATGCTTGAACATGGTGTTCGTTATGGACAAACTGTGACTAGCACAGAAGTCCAATAACAAAACGCCACTCGGGTTCAGATCGGGGGGGCCGTTCCTCCCAATCACGCCCCTCCAGGCGTCACTGTCGCTGCCCACGTGGGCATTGAAGTCCCCCAGTAAAACAATGGAGTCCCCAGTCAGGGCCTTTTCCAGCACCCCTCCCAGAGACTCCAAGAAGGCCGGGTACTCTACACTGCCATTCAGCCCATAGGCACAAACGACAGTGAGAGACCTATCCCCGACTCGAAGGTGCAGGGAAGCGACCCTCTCGTTCACCGGGGTAAACTCCAACACATGGCGGCTAAGCTGGGGAGCTATAAGCAAGCCCACACCAGCCCACCGCCTCTCACCGCGGGCAACTACAGAGTAGTAGAGAGTCTAGCCTCTCTCGAGGAGTAAAGTTCCAGAGCCCAAGCTGTGTGTGGAGGTGAGCCCGACTATATCTAGCCGGTACCTCTCAACCTCCTGCACAAGCTCGGGCTCCTTCCCCACCAGCGAGGTGACATTCCATGTCCCCAGGGCTAGTCTCCGTGTCCAGAGATCAGGTCGTCGGGGCCCCTGCCCAATCCACTGTGCACCGGCCCCTTACAGATCCTCCTGCAGGTGGTGGGCCCACGGGAGGATAATTAATGCATTTATACAGTTAAATCTGAAATATCTTGTTCCTAACATAAAAAACTGAAGTTGAAAAGTTTGTAATTATTTTTTCTACAATTAGAATCTGCATCGTTTTATATGAAAACAAAACATACTGCTCATTCATGCCAAAATTCAAACTGATAGAAAAGTTACTGACTTTTTCCATTTGAAAGTCATTGCCGAGTCGATAAAATCATCAGAAAGTTCACATTTACATTGACATTTTTTGTTGTTTAAAAAGTGGTTTAAGAGGTTTATTGATTAATGAGGCCAAATCCCTGTAAAGGTACTAACGAGAGCTTCTACTGCACTGTACTGTATGTGAATTTCCAGCTGTGCATGTGTGTGCTGACCGAGTCCTGGAAACCAAAGAGCACCAGCTGTATCTGGTTGATGGAAGTGGAGTCGAAGTCCAGGTCCAGCTTGAGCTTGGAGATGGTGGCTGCCATAACGCGCCTCTCAGGGGAATGGATGAAGTCTCGAAGAATGCAGATGATCTGCTTGATGTGTTCGACAGACAGCTGGAGCTCCTCGCTGCCCTGCACACACACACACACACACACACACACAAATGTACATACAAAGATGGATCAAAGTAACATAGCTTTATACTTAATATTACAATGTAAAGTCTATTTATAATATATATATATATATATATAGTGTTTTAACTACAGCATAGAGCATAAAGATAAACTCTCTCAGGTATTAACATTGCAAATTTAGAGGTTCTTCAGTGTCATTAAAGCCGTCATTTGTAGGACTTTAAAACATCTATCATTTGTACGCCCAAGTGGTAATTTCAGAAAAGACACTGACACAGAACTGCAGGTTCATATTCACACACACATTCCTGCATTTTTATTTAATTATTTATTTATTTGAGTAAACAACCACTTGGGAATTCCACCTGAACTGATTAACGTGACCTCGCTGACACAGCTCGCTTTGAACATCCTTTATTTAGCTTATTTGCTTGTGTGCACTTCAAATTTTATTCTTCTTTTTGGGGTTTTCATACTGGATGTTATGATGGAAAACCAGCTTCACACTGAAAAGTTAAAAAAACTATTGAATTTTATTCTGAATTTTTATAATGAACAAAACAATAATTTGGTTATGTTTAAATAGTTTTAAACATTTACAACATACTTGTTGGCTTAAGTCCTTATTTCTAGGAAAAATTAATTGGTGTTGCGTTCATCTCATCAGTGGAAAGTCCCAAATGGGTTTCAAGAGAGGACAGGTATTTGTACGCATTGTCATCTCCCTGGCATCTGTTTTTGGTATTACTCTTGGGCGTCACTAATAGCTGGAATTTTTAAATCCTACATCTGAAAAGATTATTTATGTTCTTATATAATTTAGATTATTCATCTGTCTATTATGAATCTTAATATTATCATATTAAGAAATTAGACAAGCACTTCTTCCTCACTGACAGACACACACTGACACACACAGACCTGGATGTAGTTCTCCTTGAGGTTGGAGATGACCTTTTCCTGGTCTTCATTCAAGACTTTGTACAAAATGGCCCGTCTCTCACTGTCTTTTTTCAGCAGAAACAGACCGCTGTCTCTGTCCTCAGGGGAAGGGGGGGCATTGCGGTCCTCCGCCACCAATCCCTCATCTGGCACGCTGCAACACACACACAGCGTGATGTCACAGCAATATAACACAACAAATGATTTACAACAAATGATTTACAACAATGTGACGTGCAGTTCAGTTTATTTACAGATACAAGCCTCTCCTGGCTACTGTGTGTGCCCAGGAAAGTGCAGAGACAGCATGAGTCAGCATCACAAGTCGTGCATGAATGTATACACACACATGACTGTGCATGTGCAGATGTGTATGTGTGTGCTCAGACGCTAGCTGAACCTCATAAAATTATTAGACTTCATTATATCAGTGTTGTAAAAGGCAGCAGAGTGCACCATGAGCACAATAACGCCACCTGCCAGCCAAACACACACAGACTCTCAGGCACACATGCACATTCATTCACATCTTTTCACATGATGTGTACTACAGCAGGATTTTGTCAGCAGCAACATACAGTTTTAATACAGCCAGAGTGTGTAATACTTTGTTTTTGCATTCAGTATTACATTTGGAAAAAGGCTGTTCCAGTGCCATTAAAACTGAATTTGTCAGGTTATCATCAGTGTTTGAGTCAGTAATGATCTTTATTATGTACATTCAGCAAAGCAGCAGCAGCTGAAACAAATTTGGTCTGATATATTTCAAGGCTTTCATAAAACACATTGCTGATGGATTTCTATCAAAACAAGGTGAAAGAAAAAAAGTACTCAAATTATTTACTTTCAAGATGCTACTTAAGTAAAAGAACTAAAGTACTGGCATCAAAATATACTTAAAGTACCAAAAGTAAAAGTACTCATTATGAATAGCACATTTTACATGAGTGTAGATCATATTACAACACACATACACACCTCAGGTAGCTGGAGTTGGGGGGTTTGAGCAGGTTCTCGGAGCCAGAGCTTTTCTTTCTCTGGAAGAAAACATCGTGTTTGGAGTCGCAGTCCGGACTCACAGAGCCATGTTCACTGCTGCTGCTCCCAGCGGCCTCGCACTGCAGCTGCGCCGGCAGCGAAACACTGTGGATGTAGTCTGCAAAACCACATGCATACAGAAAACAAACATCTAGAACTAATTGTGTGGAGCCTACTTCTTTATGGGAGAATGCACTGTATATCTCTGTGTACATGTGTGGTAACCTGAGGGTTTGTAGGCAATCTTGCCCTTCTTGCCCTTGGTGTTGTGTCTGACAAAAGTGTCTTTGAGCAGATCAGAGGCAATTGCTCTCTTGTGAGGGTCTGGCTCAAAGCAGCGCAAGATGAACGCCTTGGCCTCCAGTGACAATGACTCAGGGATCTCTGGGTGGATCTTAAACATGCCCACCTGCAACGCACATCCACAGGACACACTGAATAGTCTCACAAAGTACTCATGGGCTGGATATTTGTGTAAAGAGGAAAATATTTACAGCTTTAAATGATACTGTAAATATCTTAAAACAAATTAACTCAAAGCTACATTATACAAGTTCTGCACTACTTGGCTTTCCAGATCCCTCTACCTGCTTCATTATGCTCCACCCAGCCCTTCATCTGCATGCTCACGGTGTCCTCTGGCTGCTTCCCAAGTCTCTTAATCGATCATTCCTCTGCATTCCTCGATCTTTGCTTGTCCAGGTCGAGCAAGGATTGAGGACACCTCAGGCCTCTTATATCTGCTCTCAGGATCAAGGAGTGAGGAGGCTGCTGGGGGAGCCATGAGCGAGGAAACAAGAGCCCATCCTAAGCGGAAGTCTTTTAATGACCAACACGCCCTTTATTGGAAATCAGCTGTTCAGATGAAGGATTTGAGGAAAGGACGTTTTATGTCTCTAACTTATTTCCTCAGTTCCTCTCTCCTCAAATATTTTTCCTTGTATCTTTGACTTGCATCTTACATGGGCGAGAATAAGATGTAAGGAAAAGATGCACATGAGAGATACATGGACCTATATAAGAAACCTGGGAAGCAGCCTCTGTCTCAGTTAATGCGGGAATTGGGAGCTTGCTAGCTTGTCTCTTCCAGTTTTCTTTCAGCAGCTAATACTAACTTGAAGTCTTGGTGAAAGATGAGAAGTACACCAGAAGCACAATCATGAGTTGATTGGCAGCTGCGTGGCCTTCTTTGATTGGTTAGAACGGTGAGGCTTGCTCACAGAAGGTAATATCTCAGCACTGCTAACCATAAAACTCTCTGATAGCACCTCTCCACATTAAGATACACTTCGGATCATATCTCAACAAAAAATATTTGAAAACGCTACCAACTGTTAGCAACTGACAAGTTTTAAGGGGGTATTGTGTTGTACTTTGACCTTCTTTCAATATACCCTCTAAGCAAAAACATACACAAAGACTCAGGTTCCTACTTTAAACATGGCTGCTTGTGGTTCCCCCAGCTCATGGAAGGGAGGTTTGCCAGTGGCCATTTCTATGATGGTACATCCCAGGGACCAGATATCAGCCGGGGCCCCATACCCTCGAGGGCCCTTATCAATGATTTCTGGTGCCATGTACTGAAGGGTGCCTGCAAACAGAGAGGGAAACAGAAATGTAGAACACTCATTTGAATTGATAAAGAGTGGCAGTTACCTTGTTTACACTGACAGCAAATGTTTGTTCAACTGAAAGTACCTTTTGTGGACCGGTGGGAAAAAAATGGCTTATCTTATCTGAAGGTTGATTAGAAACCCAAGTTTAATCTTACTGAAGGAGGTATTCAAAAAGACAGAATCTGAGTTTGGTGCTAACTGTACATCACTCGCTTTTAAATACAAACCAGGAGCTTAAAATTCAAGCTTCAGCTGCAAATGTGCAGAGAAAAACTAGATTTCTGCGACAATATGATGACTGAGAATGATACGAGATTAGAAATACTCCCAAAGAATGAGTACTGAAGAATCTGCTAATTATGTTTTATTTGTATTTTGACTGTATTCTGTACTTCTAGGCAGATTTAGCATGTGTAAACTGCTCTAAATGCTGATGTAAAACGAGAGTTGTAAGAGGACAGACTCAGAGAAGAAGCAGAAGAGGAGAAATAGATAAGGACACACACACACACACACACACACATAAACACACCTGTTAATGAAAGGTAAACACCCTTCTGCCTCTGCTTGATTAGCTAATGTAATTACACACCTTGCTGGCTGCTGGAGGAGTCCAGATGGCCAATGAATGTGCATGTCCTTATGTGTGCACACATTCGCACACGCTCGTGTGTCTAGTGTTTCCATAGAGGCTGATAGTGGCTCTTGACATTTTGAGGCTCATTTAATATTTACACTCATAGTCTGGCTTTGCAGCATGTCTATGACTCCATTTATGCAGCCCAGACTGAATTACTTCTGTTTATGTATGACAGCCCTTTGTCAAACTAGGACTGGTGCACGGGTTCTTTCAGCGTGAGCCAATATTGCAGTCATTTATCCTCTTTGTTTTGGACAAGTTGTTAGTACAGCTCATATAATAGCGTACGTTGTTATTTTTCTGATCATTTTATTAAAATTTCTATTAAAAAAGGAGAAGGATTTTGTCATTTTAATGTTAATAATTTGTCTTAAACCCAAAAATGTATCATATGTTCACACCTGAAAGCTCCCCAAGCGGGAAACATTTTCATGTGGTGCATTGCCATCCACATTTTTTCTTTTGCTAGTGTTCTGTTAAAATCTGCGCTACATTTGAAGGGAAATCTGGCTATTCTTACGTTTCCCATTCATTTGAGCTCCATGGACGTATCACAAAGAGTTAATGAAATCCTCATAACAGTTTCAAAGAACCCCTTGTGATATCCATTTCAATTTAAATCTGTGGGACTGATTCTCTCAATGAACCAACTCGTTGCCAGTTGTGTACAAGATATTAGCAAGAAAACAGAATTTATTTCAGGAAGAATTAGCATAAAGAAGTTACCGGTGAATGTTTCTGTACAAGGGTTGACTCCCGCCAAACGCTTAGAGGTTCCAAAGTCTGAGATCTTCAAGACACCACTGTAGGTGTTCACCAAGACATTATCGCCCTAACAGAGACACAGACCAAGAGGGTTTAAGGACTAGATTAAATGACATGAAGCTACTATTTGAAGCATTTTTTTCACTGAAGATGATTTTCAGATTAATGCATCAGCACTGGATTTGGATGTGGTCCAGTAACATGTTGCGCTCTCAGACATTTGACTTGACTTGTTAAGGTTGAAAAAAAAGGGGTCACTCCAAACCTATGTCCCATTGAGGCCTTTATATATACCAGACATTTTGACGGGTCATAGCTTGTAATAGTGGGTAAACCACAGGTGTAATTGCTGATATTAATGGTGGCTACTGTTTTTTTTTAAATAAAACTGTTCTCTTTCCAGGTTCTGCTATAACACGAAACAGAGAAAGGAGAACCAAAGTCAGTCTGAGTCCAAATGGGATCAAAAACACACATGTAGTCCTTATGTGTATGCAAAGGAATGTGTGCATTTAATGTAAATCTCTCCTAAAATAACATGGCTGTGATACATTTTGATGATAAATCATCTGTTGTAGTTCAACAAGCTGCTTATAGTCCACTCAACACTTGGTGACACCAC